AGCAGGTGGTGTGGTGGTTAAGGTGCTGGATTCCCATATGGCCAACCACAGTTCAAGTCTCAGATCTGGCAGCTCAAAAATCATGCTGGGCACACGTGCTTGCACGCTCAAAATCCCAAGAAGAGAACAAAGGAGAAGGGATTGCAGCATGGCCATCCCTGTAGGGTGTGATTTCTCACTTTCCCTTTCTCTGTCTCTCTGTTCCCTCTGTCTCTCTCCAAAAAGCGCATGTACCCTATGGCAAAAACCTAAGTGGGGGGGGCGGGGCGGGGAGGAATCAGCCCTGAATTGGTCTGCGAGAGCTTCCAAGTCAGGACTGACTCTGGGTCTCACCCAGAACCTGTTAGGTAGATGCAGATTCTCCAGCTTCATCCTAGACCTACAAAAACACCTGTGGAGTAGGGCCCAGCGTGGCTTTTCCTTTTTTTTTCTTTTTTTAACTGAGCTGCCAGGTGATTTAAATATACTCACGTGTGAAAACACCCTGGGTCTACAAGGTTCCCACCCAAGGTCAAAGGCGAAGGCAAAGGCCAGTCTTCAACACTGGCGCTGGCTGCTGGCCATTTCCTTGAGGAGGCCAGTCCACAAACCACCAGTGTAGAAGCCAATACCATGTGCTGATTCTCAGTTCACTGGGCAAGCCCGCCACCAATGAGCGGGCAGCCACACAGGCCTTGGAAAGCTAAGTATTTCCGCGTGAGGAGGCGGGGGCGGAGCCTGTCTCTATCCTGGTAAGTCACGCTCCCAAGGTCCCCTCTGAGGTGATTGTCTCACTTTCATTTAATTGCTTAATCACCCACCCACCCATAGAGGCTCCAGGAGGACAGGGACTGAGGTTCTCTTAGTCACTACTGTGAGCTTTGACTAGCGTTGACTAAACGCTGACCGCACAATGTTGAACTGACAGAGCTTTGATAATCCCATACCAAGCTGGCCATGAGAACTCCCTCGGCCCTCTCTCCTTGTTCTCCCTCCCCACTATGCAACATTTGGCGTGGGGAACACTGTGCCAATGTGACAATCTTGGCTGCTGTAGCAAAGTGACAAGATGGCTCTCATTCTGCAAAATTTCCTCAGCTGTTCTTACACATTTTTTTTTCCTCCTAGATAAATTTAGAATTGTCTTGTCAAACCCCTGACAATTGATTGTAATTAGAATTAGATTAAATGTATGGTTTAGTTTGGAGTATCTTGTTATTTAATAACGGTAATTCTTCCTAGCCAAGAGCATATCTCCCCAGTTACACCAATCTTTTTTTATGTCATCAGTGAAGTGGGGTCTTACAGTTTTCTTCATTTAGGCCCACTGTGTTTTCTGTCTAGTTGTTGCTGGCATACAAGTAAGCTGTGAATTTTGTGCATTCAGGTACTGGTCTCGTTACTGCTCTCACTTAATCCTTACTGCATTTTTTTGGTCTGTTACCTGGAGGATCACCTATCATTTTCTCATCTTTCTAATATTTGTACCTGTCATTTCTTGCCTTCTGTTGGGAACATCCAGCATGACACTGAGAACCTAGTATTGTTGCTTTCCTTATTTCTTTTTTCCTGACGTAGTGTTTCACTATTCTGAAAAGAAGTGTTGCTGCTGCTGCTTTTTATAGATTCTTCATTGTTGGATAAAAGTATCAGTGTGTTCCTATTTGACTGAGGTGGTTCTCCAAGAAATGGTTTTGGGATTTTTTTATCCAAGGCTTTTTCAGTGTCTAGCAAGAGGATCAAAAGGTTTTTCTTGTTGACTATGTTAGACTTTGGATATGACGAATTACAGATTTCCTAATAGCCTTCGACACATAGCGCACTTGGTCAGAGCACGCTCCCCAGTACCATGCTGGATTCGATCTGTCGATATTTTACTTGGGACTTTGGTACATCTGGTCCTGAGCGAGGTCTGGAGTCATCTTTCTGGGTTCCCTTTGTCAGGTTTCGGCACCCAGCTTATACTAGCTTTGCGATGTAGTTTAGAGCGCCTTCCCTGTATAAAGGAACTCTCCTATAAAACTAGTCACAGTTGGAGCTGGCAGTGACATAGTGGTTAGGGCACTGGACCTTCATATGGCTGACCACAGTTTTTGTTTTTGTTTGTTTGTTTGTTTGTGGGGGTTTTTTTTGAGAGGTTTTTGCTCTAGGGCGCGTGCGCTCGCCAGACAGACAGAGAGAGACATAGAGACAGAAAGCAAGAAATCACCCCCCAGAGGGGATGGTCACGCCGCAATCCCTTCTCCTCCATTCTCCTCTCGGGATCTGGGGCATGCACGCACACACACGCACCCGGCGTGAGTTTTAAGCCGCTGGGTCCGGGACGCGAACCGTGGTCGCCTACGTGGGAGTCCAGCGACATAGCCATTACGCTAACTGCTGGTTGAATGGCTGACCACAGTTTGAGGCCTGGATCCAGAAACTTGAAACTCATGCCGGCCACATGTGTATATGTGCCCAAAATCCCAAGAGAATGGAGGAGAAGGGTTGCAGTGTAGCCCACTAGGGGTGATTTCTCACTTTCCCTCTCACTGTCTCTGTCTCTCCAGAAAGTACACACACGCTATGGCAAACCTTTTAAAAAGTTGGGACCAGCAGTTAGCATAATGGCTATGTTGCTGGACTCCCACGTAGTCGACCGTGGTTCAAGTCCCGGACCCGGCGGCTTAAACTCACGCCAGGCGCGTGTGCGTGCGTGCCCAAGATCCTGAGAGGAGAATGGAGGAGAAGGGATTGCAGTGTGGCCATCCCCCCTGGGGGGTGATTTCTCCCTTTCTGTCTCTATGTCTCTCTCTGTCTTTCTGGCAAGTGCACGCGACCTATAGCAAAAACCTCTAAAAAAAAAAACCTTTAAAAAAGTAAATTAAATTAAAAAATTAGTCACAGTGAATAAATTTGGTATTAGTAGTACTTTAAAATTTTTTTAAGTATTCTCTTTTTAATTCCATGTTGATACCTTTAAGTTTTCTTTTAAATGATCCATTTGATTGAGACTTTTACATTTATTACTCAGAACACAGAATTATTGTATTTTTTAATCCCTTCTGTGTTCTTTCTCTATTTTTTGCATTGATCAAACTTACCAGGAATTTAGCTATTTTGTTCGTTTTTGTAGACAGCCAGCTCTGAGAGGTATTTATCTGTTCCTCTCTTTTTCAGCTTTCTAATCAATTCATTCATTTCTGCTTCTATCTTTGTTCCTTCATCTCCCACTTCCTTTAGGTTAACTTTGTGTAAATAAGCAAATGGTGATCTAGCAAGACCCCAAGCTTGCTAGCTTACAGGTCCTGGCCACCCCTATTCTAGAACCTGGGTTGCTCTGCCACCTTGTCCAACCACCTACCAGCCTAGTGCTTTGGGGCGCCGAGCTCTGTGCTCTTGAATTCTAGCCTCCCAACCATAATTCTACTATCTGTTTAACTTGAAATCCTTCTACCAGGCAGGGTGTCAGGAAGTTGCCTTCTTTCCTCTTTAAGCCAAGGAGGGGGCAATCAAGAAGGGAGATACACATTTATGTTCTAAGTAGCCCTCCTGATACACTTCCGCTACAGCCCCAATGACCTCTTCCGTCCCAATGTCCTGATCTGTGCCGTGACCTTTCCACCTCACTCTAGGACTCTCCCCCAGGACTTCAAACCAGGGGATGACTCAGAGTTCATTGTTCTCTGCAGTGTGGCATAGGTGGTCTGAGCTCATACTATTGAAACAGCTCTGGGCCATTTGAAAGTGGGACCATGCCCTTTGCTGGTTGTTCATTTGGTTTCCACCTTTGCCCCTCAACTTTGCCCTGAGGTCAACCAAGGAAACACTTGAAACTCACGCAGAGTGGGTCAAGTGGATCAATAAGTGGATTATTAGCAGGCTCCTGCGGTGTTTTTGCAGGAGTCATGGAGTCCATTTCTCACAAGGAGGCAATGCAGTTTTTCTTGTGTTCTCTGCCCACCTAAGCATGAACCCCTAGAATTCTGCTCCCAGCTCAGATTTCAGGATCAACATCATCACTTCCTTCTACAGAAACATTCATCTGTTCTACACTCTGGTCCAAGGAAAATCTCTTTCCTAACATGCTGGGATACTGTCTTTTATTAGCTAATAGGGACTTGCAGCTCGCTTTAAGAAAATGTAGTTGTCCACTTTGGGAAGAATCCCTCTCTCTCCTTTCTGAAAGGTATGTGATGTTTTTGTTTAGTTTAGTCTAACATGCAAGTCTATTGATGTAAGCTTTCACAAACCCTTTTTGCAAGTGTGTGGGATAAAATATATAGAAAAGTAAGAGTCCTCCGTTTCATTGAAATATCTTTTTTATTTCCTGAGTCAGGAGTAAGGAGGAAAACACCCTCTTCCCTTCTCACAGGCACCTCCCCATAGTCAACCTGCGTAAAATGGGCCAGGTCTTGCCCACCCATGCTCCTCTGGTGAGTGGGCCAGGTCGTACCCCACCCCCAAATTGTCACGGTCATGGCTGAGTCATTCCAGAGCCAGAGAGGGCCCACCAGGCCTTGCACCTATGTTCTGGAGCTTGGGAAGTCAAGAGAGAAAAATGACCCGCTGGGAAATCAATGGATGTTCCCAGAGCGGTGATGTCATCAGTAGCCCTGCCAGTCACTGCCCATAAGTGTCCTGTGAAGCATTTCCTGCAAAAACTTAAGCCCCTGTCCAATAACCTTCCGATAATAGAAATAATATATCTGAATTTTATTCACTCCGAAATAAATTTCAGTGGCTGTTGCTCTTAACGTGTAGCAGCTGAGCAGCATTAAGTATTTGATGTCATTCTGGTCATATTTAGAGGAATGATGAACACTGTGAATTACGAGGTAGACAGCCTGACATGTTTATTGCCTGCAATCCATTGTACAGAGTCCTTTCTATCGGAGCTTGAGTTGCCAAAGAGGATCTTTGGAAGCTGGTTCAGATTGCTGTAAGCAGGTTCCTCCCTCCAGATTAGGGCCTCAGGGTTGGGCCATGGGCCGAGGCCAGGCGACAGCCTTCTCTGACCAGCACTGGTCCTCACTCCACAGTGCCACCAGTCATTCGCGTCTACCCAGAGACCCAAGCCCAGGAACCCGGGGTGGCAGCCAGCCTGCGATGCCATGCGGAGGGCATTCCTATGCCCAGAATCACTTGGCTGAAAAATGGCATGGATGTCTCAGCCCAGATGTCTAAACAGCTCTCCCTCTTAGGTAAGACATGCCCTTGTGTTAGCATGACACTCCCATCCACGTCAAGCTGATTCCTACACCAGGATTCGAAACGAGAGGCATGATCGTTTGTAAGTCTGACATGTTTTAAGTGACAGGATTCCTCTCCAAATTTTCCTGGCAACTCAGTTCACATGGGTCTGGGAGCTTTCTGAGAGCAATGATGAGGGAGCTGTCAGTCGGGTCCCAGGTCACCCTCGGTTTATTTCAGCAGTGCCAGCACTTCCTGGGCATATGATCAGAGAGGCTGGCTGCCCTCAGCCCTGCCCAGGGGCTGTGCTTTTAATCCCAACACTTCCAATAGCCCCATGAGGGAATGGGGGGAGGTGGGGAGCGAGGGGAGATTGCGGCTGGGCAGGTACCCTGAGCACTGTCCTTTCTGCAGCTAATGGGAGCGAACTCCACATCGCCAGTGTTCGGTATGAAGACACGGGGGCTTACACCTGCATTGCCAAAAACGAAGTGGGCGTGGATGAAGATATCTCCTCACTCTTCATTGAAGACTCAGCTAGAAAGACCCGTGAGTCCACTTTTGCCTTTAAGCTCCTCAATGAGCTGGTTGGGGGGTGTCGGGTGGCAAAGCAGGGTGCCAACCAACCAGGGCCACAACTGCCAACCACAAACCCTTGCAGACTGGGGTAACCAATATCCCTCTGCCATGAAGCTGTGTGCCAAGGACACCCAGAGGTGAGCCTACCTTTCCTGGCAACCTAGACAATACTAGAAACATAGACAGGGAAACTCTGGACAGCAGGCAGAGCCCAGGGCCACGGGGAAGCTCAAATACCCCAGCTCCAGCAGCGCCTCCTACTGGCTGTATGACTGGGACTTCCGCCTTTCTTCACAGAAGCCTTCCCAAGCCCCACTTCCTGGGTGCGGCCTCCTCACAGCGGCCTAGAAACGAGTGTGTACACGCACACTGCTGGGAGGGCAGTGCCCCAAGCCCCAGGGATGGCGGTCCACCTGGTGTGCTAAGTGTACTCTCCCATACAGCATCTGCCCACATGGGCCTGCGGGTCCGACTTCATGGACATGGGTGCTGGTCACAGCCCTCCCCTCGGTCAGAGACTCCAAGCTAAGTCTTCATCATCAAAGGAAATCATCAGAACTCTTTCACATGGTCTTCCCAGGAGAATCCCATTGGAAATCAGTTTTCTGGGTAATAATCCAGGAAATCAGGGAGAAATATCTATAATCCACAGAATGTTGGGAATACCGTTGGTTTCTAGGATCCTAGGATCTGATTTCAGAGATTCATTTAGGCACCCAAAGGGTCCTCCAGCTACAACCCACAAGTGTTGGCTCGTGTCCAGAGTTTCGCACCCCACCCCACCCCAACCCCACGTCCTGTGGGGGGCCGATGAGTGGGGCAGATTCTGTAAGTGACGGGCCAGGTAACGGGATGTCCAGAAATGGACTTACGACCGTGGAGGTTTGACATTGCTTTCTTCTCTTTCCTTCCCTCAATCACGCTCCCACTCTCCTACTTCTTGGCTGCTGCAGTTGCAAACATCCTGTGGCGAGAGGAAGGTACCAAGTTTAACTGTTCCGTGTCGTGCCTGTGATCACATGTAGTCATGGTTCCGTGACGGGCTGCCGTCAGCTTTAGCACACACCCAAGCAGGGCCCATAAGCCAAATCAGAAAGGAGCGGGGAGGCCAATGTCAAACTCAGGGAGGACACAGTGAATCCAATTACAAACCTGTTAGTGCCTTTAACGGCAAGTTTCAAAATGGTAAGTTTTCATTCAAAGCTTCTGGTAAACCTCTGCTGAAGCAGACTACTTGGCAGGGGTCCTGGTCAGATCTGACTTCACACATTTTTCCAGTAGCTGAGATCGGGGTTGGGTTTAGTTTTTTGCTAATGTTGCACTGTTTAAAAAATGTCAAGGCTTGGGACCAGCAGATGGCATAATGGTTATGGCACTGGACTCCCACAGACCAACAAAACTGGAGACTTGAAACACACACCAGGCACATGAGTGTGCCTACTCAAAATCCCAAGAGAAGGGATTGCAGCGTGGCCATGCCCCCAGGAGATGATTTCTCACTTTCTGTCTCTCTGTCTCTCTGTCTCTCTCTCTTGTGATCACACATGCCCTATAGCAAAAACCTCTTTAAAAAAAAAAAAAA